GCTAAGTGATCAAAGTTGATCTGAAACAGAAGATAAATCCACTGAATCTTTGTACAGTTCATCTGGTGCTCACATGAATCCTGTGATGAAAGCTTTATTTCACTGAATATTTCTTCAAAGCTCATTTAACATGTTGAAGTAATGAATGAAAGTGCAGATTGAGAGTGGATCACATGCTTATTAAGGTGTGTCATGTGACATGTTCAGTTTTGTCACACGTCTCTAGATTTCCCCTGATATCATAACTGCTGAAAAACTGATGATGGTGTGGTTGCTTCTTAGACTACCATGATCTGGATGACTGAGAACCTAGACAGACACGTTCCGAAGGAAGGGCTCCACACTTATTGTACTGATTTAACTGTGCTTATTGTCATCGAGCAAAGTTTGGTTTAATGTGTCTCTATTGACAACCCAAAGCATTTTTTTCATTATTTATAAAACATAGAAGTCTTAAAATATATCTGCAGTGCTTGGTGTAAATTCAGTGATTCAAGCCACAGTTAGTTGTCATCTTCATTGAAAAATAAATATGAATAAATGATAATAATATATAATATAATAAATGATCAAATGTGATGTTGACATGTGTTGTTGTTGTTTGTATTTTCTGTAAATGTATTTTTAATATAAATGCTTTGTTCCAGACAGACATGGAGTCACTATCAGGCTGTCCAAGCAAATCCACGACTGTAACAGAGACTGAAGAAGATTGTAACGGAGTCCAACAGTCTGCAGTGGCCACCACACTCCACCGTCTTCACATCACAAGGACAATATCAACATGTCTGTGAAGTCTTCTTGCCCTTGTACTCATGCCTTGATGAACAAGTAGGTAGAGTTCAAATGTGGCTTTTCAGTGAATTTATAAGTGCAATTTACTGTTACTGCTGCTGTTTTTGTTTTCTCAGGTTTTGTTCATGAATATTTTTCAGACAGAAGGTTATATTCCAACGGACCTGAAAAGGAGAGCCGTCGATGCCTTACATTTGAAGACCAGAGCAACTGAAGAAAAGCTCTGACTCCAACGTGAGATGGACGCTGTGATTCATCATCTCCACCAGCGACACACTTACCTGCATTCATCAATAGATGACACTCAGGACCCTGGCTCCACAGCTGTTCTTCTTCACAGCATTATCCAGTTAGAGAGGAAACTGTATAATGCAATAACAATGTTCCAGCGTCATGTTGCAGTTGTTGCTCCTCCTCCACATGCTTATCTGCCAGAGTTTAACTCCACCTCTCAGACAGTCGTGTCACCTGATCTGCATATTTTGCTGTACGATGACATCATCATAACGTTGACGAGGAGGGCGAGAAAAACTAGTTTTGTCCTGCAGATGGCGATCTTGCACCATGTTCAGAGAGCTGACACTTTGATGATGATGATGCTGGTCTACTCAACTTACTTTTAGCCTGGGTTGGACTCTATATGA